AGTATTTCTTATAGGTCTTCTGGCAATCTATTTCCTCAGTTTTTATCTGAGAAAGGCTTTATTTTTCCTTTTTTGAAAGTTATTTGTACTGCGCATAGGATTCTGGGTTTGTTTTTTTCTCTCAGCATTAAAGCCATTCCATTGTCTTCTAGCTTGAATGGTGTCTGGTAATTCTTAAGTATCCTCTGTATGTGCCACTTTATTCCCTGGGTTGCCTGTTAAGATTTTCTGTGTAAGCATTTTGAACATGATATGCCTTTTGTGTATAAATTTATTCTGCTTGGTGTTGAGTTTCTTGGATCTATGGTATGGTGTCTGTCAATTTTGGAAAATACCCAAATTTATTCCTCCAAATATTTTTTTGCCCACGTTATTTCATTTGGCCTCTTGTGCTCCAGCAATCCACAAGAGCATGCCTTCCAGTGGTTCTCAACCTTGGCTGCACATTAGAATCACCTGGGAATCTTTTTAAAATCCTGATTTCTGGGCCTCATCTTCCGGAAATTCTGTTTCTTTGTTATGGGGTGGGGCCACAACATCAGTAACAAAGAAACAGAATTTCCGGAGGATGAGGCCCAGAAATCAGGATTTTAAAAAGATTCCCAGGTGATTCTAATGTGCAGCCAAGGCCGAGAACCACTGCTTTACACCAAAAGGCTGCAGGTTTGATCCCCAGTTGGGTTGTGTAGGGGAGGCAAATGATCAATGTTTCTCTCTCCGCCCCCTTCCTCTTCCTCTAAGGATTAGTAAAAACATAACTTTGGTGAGGATTAAAAAAAAAAAAAGATCATGCCTTGGGTAGCTGCTGCAACTTCAGCATGGGACTCAGAAGGAGCCGCCCCCACATGGAACAAACCTGAATCCAATCAACATAGTTGCTCAGCCCAGCCAATCCTCAACCTGAAGTAGAGCTGCTTGGTTGAGCCTAGTTTAGATCAGTTGAACCTAGATCTGCTGACCTAGAAATTTCTGTGAGGATAAACATTTTTATTCAAAGGACCACAGAGCAAAAGCAAGAGAAAGAAAAAAGTTTATCTGCATTGGCTGGCTAGAAACCTGAACAGGATTCCTGGCAGCACAGGTATGCAAAAGCATTCCAGGAAGCAGAACTAAGCCCGGAGAAATGGGTTCAAATCTCAGGTGCTGGCCCTGGCAGGCTGAATTGCTAAGGGTGGGCCTCTTCTTAGCCAGCTCCAGCAGCCCCCACTCTGGGAAGGACTCCCTGACTATTTTCCCTTCCCTAAGAGCACTCCTTTCTCCTACTGTTTTTCTGTGACATCTATCTTAACCTCAACCCCAAGGCAACTACAATTAATATTTTGTTTTCTTCCAATCCTTTCTTTCTAGCAACAGCCCTTTCAAGTGCCAGGGGATTGTTTCAGTTTCCACCTTGAAAGGCCCAGAGGCTGTCTCCTATCTCCCTGGGGGCATTCTAACCCTATCCCCAAAGGCTCATCTGTTTGCAAGCCTGGTGTCTTAGGGGCCACTGTGACTTCAACATCCACTTACCTTCAGGATGAACTCTGAATTTGTTTCTGTCACCCAGGAATTTCCATTTCTTTCCTTGAAATTGGCTATTTATTTGAAAATAAATTATGTTAATTTTAGTCAGCATCTTCAGTATTTGGAGCAGGAGTTAGCTGACTACAATTTTTGACTGGGCAATCTGATTTTTAACCCTGGGGTGTTTTTTTTTTTTTACACAGATGAAATGATTCCTCATACACAATTTCATTTCCTGCTTTTGCATTTGAAAAGCACACATTACCCCACAGGATTGAGTCTCATGGACAACAACAACAGTTTGTTGAAAGGCATCTTACAGGTGAGTACATAAGGAACCCTGGGTTGAGAAGCTGAGTGGGTGAATGAGAAACAGAATGAGGTATACATGAGATGTGGAGAGCTGTGGCTATTTGGATTCCTTCATAGAACTGCTCAATACACAGAAGCAAGGTCCTGCCTTTCTAGTTAAGCCTACAAATGTTTGACTCTGACTCACAGGGTGGGATCAGGGAACCACTTACCAGCCGCTGTTGCTTTTCCTTTTCAGAGGAGCCAAGAAAACACTGCCAAAGCAGGTGATGTAAGAATGAAGCTGACTCAGAAATACCCAATCGCCTTAGGAACTTCTCCAATAAACAGACTGGCCATCCTATAAACTCCCATATAGAGGTACCTGGGGAGAGCTTCTTACAGTAAGGCCAGTAAGAGTCCCTGGTGAATATAGCCACAGAGAGGCAAATCCAGATAGCAGTTTGCTATAGTGCAAGAATATTTGGCTTTTAGTAGAAAATTTAAAAATTCAGAGGAGACAGATAGAATCTTAGAGGGAAATCGTAGAGGGTGGGAACAAGGCAATTCAAATTAGATCCTTGACCTGCATCTGTTGAGAACCTGTCATGTTTAACGTATTCATATTTTCCCTTTCTAGCATAAGACACTTTACAGCCACGAATAAAAAAGTATAGCATCTCTTTAGATGTGGCATCATTTTCTGTACATAATCTGGTCAGGATCATTGTTTAGCCTCCAGTCACTTATAATTTCACCAACCACTCATTAAAGAAACCTTTTCTTATGTTAATTCAGTCTGGGGTTTGTGGCTTATAATTACACTTGCAAGCCTCAGGTCAAGTTTCTACTGACCTTGAGATGCTCTTTATGCAACAGTACTTTTATTAACTTTTTGTGTGGTGGGGAAGGGTAAGGTGGAGGTGAGAACAGAGGATGAAATTACCATTTATTGAGCATCTATTATGAGTCTGGTGTGGTGCTAAGCATTGTCCTTGTGCTACTCTAGTCAATCATCTTCAATACTGAGGGATAGTGGCCCACTTTAAAGAAAAAAAGGTTTTATAATTAAGCACAGATTAATAAGACATACAAGATCATCAGGGAGTTTATATGCAGGTGAGGAGATAGACAATAAATAAATCAACAAAATAATACCATAAAAGTGCAGGTGTTGCCCTGGCTGGTGTAACTCAGTGGTTAGAGTACTGACCTTCATACCAAAGGGTCTTGGTCAAGGGCATATATCTGGGTTGCAGGTTCAATCCCCGGTCCCAGTTGGGTCTCGTGTGGGAGGCAAACAATGGATGTAGTCTGTCTGTCTCTCTCTCTCTGTCTTCTTTCTCTTCCCTCCCTTCCACTGACACTAAAAAGCCATGGAAAAAATACCCTTGGGTGAGGTTAAGAAAAAGGGCAATGGGATAGTGGTAGTAAAGGCAGTGGGAGGAGCAGGGAGACACTTAAGATAGGGTGGAGCATCAGCTGACATTAAGGTTTTCAGACCCATTTTGAGGAGGGAACTAGGGACTACTTTATTTCAAAGCCTTTGGCTAACTTTTTCCTTAAGGAGAAAAAGGCCCTGGAAGACAGCCTTTCTAGCATGCATGTCACCGATTATAGGCTACCAAACTTATTTGGCCTACCACCCCCTTTCCAGAAAAATATTACTCAGCCCCTGGAAATTAATTTTTTAAAAATTTTAATAGCAGTTACTCATCGCCCCCAAATGCACCTGTGGCCATCACCGCCCCCCTGGATCGCTGCAGCGCCTACCGGGGGGGCGGTAGCGCCCACTTTGGGAATCACTGGGCTATACAGTTCCTAAAGCTGAGGCACAGGGAGGAGGAATTACCAGTAGGGAGGCAGATAAAGACTAATGATTAAACAACTACTCAAACCCAACTCTAGTCTTAGGAGAGAATTTGCTGGTGGGAATCTTTAGGCAGTTATGACAAAACTAGATTTTTCAAGAGATGCTCAAACAGTCAGTATTAATTATAACCACACTTGACAACAGGTGAAACAAGATGAAATTTAAAGATCGAGAGAAAATTAACATTCCCAAGTATGTCAACCAATCTCCAATTTTCTGCACTACTTTAAGGCTATAATAATTAGCCATACCCTGAAAATCTAATTTTACAAAATATATTCCTGTCTCTAACAGGCCCACTCTAACAATTTATCTTCCTATATTTATCATGTATAAAATTGGAATGTTAGAAAGTAAAGTTCATGTTAGACATTTCAGTTTCAAGATATTACACAATGACTACTTTATTTAAAACACACTTCTCAACTCCAAATATTGATAAGATGTAGATGCCATAAGATAGTATGCAGTGAAGATTTAAAGGAAACTAATTTTTAAAAACTGTAAATGAGAAAGAATAAAAGGCAATTCAAGTATATACTTTTGTAAAATTTACTTATTTGGCATTGATAAGTAAGTAAAACCCAGTTTCATCTCTTTTACCAGCCCTCTTGATAGTTTTGATCGGAGCTGCCAAGTATGTGCTCACCAGCACACCTTCATTCCAGGCACCGAGACTTTGCCAAATTATCTCCGGGACTGGGGTAATCACCTTCCACAGGGCTTATTGCCATTCATTGAACACTGGTCTTTTCTGCTGTGAACAAGCTGTCTCCATGAACCTTTTCACTTAAGAATCATTCAAACTTTCTAAAATCAGTGTCAGAGCTGAAAAGGAACTCAGAAGACAACTCACATAGTCTCCTCCTGACTGAACACACACAGAGGTCTGGAGAGTTCCAGAGGAGATTGTATAGTGAAATTACTAGCAAGTCAGGACCAAGGACTAATCCTCCATAACAGGGGGTCAAGGAAACTAGGTTTATCAAGGGCCTAATAGGTGCATTAATACTTGACATTTACACTGATTCAATTCCAAGGAAGCAGTGGCCCCATTTTATAGATGATGAAACCGATTCAGAAGTTAAGTAATTTGCCAAGTAGCCAAGTGCGTGACAAGGGCAGGAATGAAACCAGTCCTGTTTAGCAACATCACACTCTCTTTCACTGTATCTCAATGTCAAAAACTCCCAGACTTTAGTGCCCCTCAACCAATCTTAAGTCATCCCACTTCACATCCCTATAAACTCAATATTAAATTCAAAGTACGTGAGAACTAAGCCATCTATCACATACGGTGTCGGTTGGAGAAGCATACTGCTCAGGCTGTAGGGACATTTCATTTGTTTAAATGTTTTTATTAAAAAAAAAATTAAAGACCTTCATGGCACAACTTCTTCCCAGCACAGTTATGTTTTAGTTATACCAATTACAATACAATTACAACCAATAAATCAAGGAGGAGAGGGGGAACTTCTGACTTAAAACTTTAAAAAAAAAAGGGGGGGGAGAGGGGGAAGCCCACTTCAAACAAAGTTAAAAAATACTAAAAAACCTTTTAGAGTAATTGCCAACACAACTCTCTTATATTGGCATTCCATCTCCTGCAATCTGATCAATGCAGACACAGGTAGTGCTGAGAAATAAAGTGTCCCAATACAAGGTGTATACAGATGAGGTAATTTACAACAAAGAAGTTGTTACTCTGTAAACCCTTGCCCCCCCACCCACCCAATTGGGTCTTTTTTTCATGCTTTTGCAGTGACTCCTTAATTAGCATTTTAAAAAGTTTGTTTCTTTTAAAAGGCTCTTGGGTGGCATTTCAGAGTCCTCTCCATTTACCTTCAGTTTCTTGCAAGGTCTGATGCGTGTTAGGAGGTTCAGCTGTCTGCAGCTCCTCACATCAGCCTCTGCTACACCTAGATTCTCTGAGCTACAAGGGTAGGATGTGAAGTCTTGATTTACAACAACCCTCCTCCCCACCTAAAAAGAAAGAATTTATTAGTCATAGTGTCCTGTTCAAATCACAATCCAGTGCAAACGTAATCACAAATTGCATCTCTGGCACATCCGGTGCTTTTAGCTTCTGCACAAATTCAACATGGTAACCCACACAGCATTCTAGGGCATAAAAGGGTCAAGAACAATAAATATCCACTGTAAGTGGCCACAAGAAAGAAATCCACCTGCCACACAGAGTGTTCTCCCTGTGGTTGAGAAGCATTACAAAAGGAGGCTTTAGCTTTCTCTGAAGTTCATCATTATACTCACTAAAGCCATCACCTTGATAAAGTAAGTTACTAGAGCCAATTACAAAGTTAGATAAGTTCATTAGATTCAACTCCTCAAATAATTACATTTATCTATGACGCCCAGATGAGAAAGGCTTATGAATCTATAAAGGTAGGAGAATGGGGAACTAAGATTTTAGGCCTTAAAACATGTTGGAAGAATTTTTCCTAGTCCCCACAAGCAGCTACTGTAATTAAATTAACAGAAGATACAGAGCTGATGGTTTTGCTATTGTGCTTAAAAAACTAGGCTTCCTCAGTGAAGCACCTGATAAACTTAGGTGGTTGGATTACAGTGGAAAATCCACTTTACATACACACAAACACACAAAACTGGCGACTTTTCCATCCCCAATCCCTGCACTGCTGAGACACAAAGTGAATTTTATGGCAAAGGATCCTTAATCCCCAGAGACGCTTTGGCTTGTGGTGCTTTTTTAAGGCCTCTCTGCCCTGCCCGGTACCATGGGTCAAATGAGGGGTGTATAAAAATGGTGGCCTTAGGAAGCCTCCACGGTACAGGGCTGCAGGCCCCTCAGATGTGAACGTGAGACACCCACCCAGCGAGACCTTTACACAGGGAACTTAAATCTAACCTTGATAAATAAAACCAAACGTTTATTTACACCAAAGAATTCCAACACTGGATCTTTCACATATGAAGGACAAAGTATTATATATATACACACAGCAAAGGGTGGCAGGGCCGTAACAAGAGTTTATAGTTTTCCCACAATTACAGGTCTACCATTTCAGTTTCACTGGAGACAGTGGTTCTGCTCCTACCTCTCAGATACATTTACAAGACTGAGGGGCAGGCCTTCTCACTGAATGGCATGTGAAGAAAGGGGAAAATCGGGAAAGAAGGTGGAAAGCTTAAAATGAAAGTGTGGCCACATCTCCCATTAGCTCTTAAAGCGTTCTTAACATAAAACCTATATAGACAATGTTTTTTTTCTTTTGTAAAAAGCAATAAATTATACCCAGTAGCTAAATGAATTCAAAATGGCCAAGTCTCCTTCCAACTACAGAGTATGCTGGGAGACGAGAGGGGAGAGGACCAAGGTAAAGAGCCTGGGAGGGAAGGTTATTGAAGTTTTAAACTAAACTTATAAGTGAGTTGGATTTAGGGTCAGGTCAATAAGACATGATTCAGACTGAACAGAAATTTTCAGGACCTGTCAGCACTTTGGGTAGATTTTTCAGCATCTCAATGTAACTATAATTAAGACATATTTCCACTAGATTCACCAGGATAACCCCACTGAAGCACTTTGGGAATAAAGTGATGTAAATGACGAGCAGTACACTGCTTTTATAGGTTGGGTCCTCCCTCCTTCCTTCCCACCTCCCTTGAAGAAGCTACATTTTTGTAATCTCTGGAAAAGAGCATGAGATACAAGCCCCCTGCCCCAAAGTGTGGGATGGTGGGTGAACAATGGCATGGGAAGAAATCTCCACCCAAATGCAGCAGCAGGAATTGAGGCTGGTTTGTCTTTGTTTTTTAGTGATGAGGAACTGAATTTGGAAGGGGAGAAAAAAAATTATCTGTGAAATATTCCACTTGCAGGTAATTTTTCAGGGAATCCCCTGAGTTATGAAAAGTTCGAGTTAAAAAAAAAGAAAGAAAGAAAAAAAAAAGAAAATCAGCCTATTATAATTCTTTTTTTATGACTGAACTACTATAAATCCACAAGCAACGGTTCAGACACGGTGCTTCTTAAGTATTTCACCCTCCCCGCCAGGCGCAAGCTGCATCAAGGAGAGAGTGGACTCCCCCACCTCTGCTCAGGCCTCAGGAGACAGAAGGGGCCTTTATTGCTGAGCGCCAGCGGCAGCCGGAACAGGCATCCCGAGGGGGTTGGCAGCAGCAATCACTGGTGAGCCTGCCAGAGGTCCGAGGGGTGAAGGGGTTGGCACTGAAGAAATCCCTGAAAGAAACAGATGAGGGTAAGTCAAGACACCAACCATGGACATCTTAGTCACCAGTTTTCCATAGCCCCTATCTCAAAAGTGACACACAAATAATTCTCTTGGTCTGTTCGATACTTCTATGTCTCTGGATCTATTTTTGTTCATCAGTTTATGTTGTTCATTATATTCCACACACAAAAAATTCTCTATTAAAGGCATCTCCTTTGCCAGATTTTTACAAATTAAACTGATTTCAAATTAAGTCCTCACAAATTAAAATGACAAGTTCTAATTAATTTAGGAGGTAAAGAAATCCATGCTTGGAGAGTTTAAGCAGTTTGACCAAAGGTAAACAGCTAGTAAAGTTGGCAACTACGCTTGGGTTCCAACCCAGGCCTCTCTATGGCAGCACTGTGCAAATTTCCTGTTCTATAACCTGTGCTAAACTAGTGGCCACTAACCACATTTAGCTACTGAGCACTTGAAATGTGGCTAGTGTAACTATGAAACTGTTTTTTTTTGGTTTTGTTTTTTAACATTTATTACATTTTGCTTAATTTAAATAGCCACCTGTGGCTAGTCACCACCATACTGAACAGCAGAGGGCTAGAGTAAAAACTCATGTGCTTATATCACACTGCCAGCTAAAATTTCAAAAAAAGTTATTTTTAGTGGGGAAAGGAGCACTTCCCACCTCTAAGCTAAAACATTATTTGAGGAAGTTCAAAAGAATATACAGTGAATAAATCTCCCCTGCCCTGTCACTATGGCACCATTTCTAGGGTATATCCTTCTAGAAATATTTTATGCATATACATGAACACAATTTTATCAGAATATTCATATGGATACCATATATAGAAATGTGATTATATACTTTTGCCCACTCCTGGTCTTGGACATGGCTCTGCACCTTGCTTATTTTATTTTCACATTATCTTGGAGTTGGAGCTAGAAAAGAACACGAAACACTCATTCTTTTCTCTGGCTGCATAGCATTCCACTGAATGGATGTCCCATAATTCATTTAACAGTTCCCTACTGAGAGCTGTTTTCAATATCTTGCTATTACAAATAAGGCTACGACCTCAGACATGCATCATTTTGCACATAGGCAAGATTCCCAGGTGATAAATTCTAGAAGGCAGCGAGCTCATTAACAGTAATTCTTTGAGGGTGTCTGAGTAAAGGACCTCACTACAAGTGTACCCACGTGGATCTGCCTATATGTATAATTCTCACAATATGGGCCTATAATTTCTTTAGAACAATTGTGTACTCTATACAAAAACTTGCTCTAAATCGTAGTGACTCAACAATAAGGAAAAATAATTTCATATATTTACAATTTATTAGGTACATGGTAATTGCTTCGGGGGGGGGGGGGAAATCAAAGAACCATTCTTTTACTCATATACACCCCGTGTGCAAACCCCACATCTTCTCTCCCCAATTTCTTTTTTTTTTTTTGGTTCCCACACCAGGAGTCGAATCTCCCCAATTTCTTAATCTTGTTTCTGAGGACCATGTCAACTACTGTCACTCTAAACTGTGAGATAAAAGGATCACCTTTTATTTTTCATGGCTTGTTGGGACATTCATGTCCCTCTGACACACTTTGGGGATTCCTAGAAGAGCCTGTTGATAGCCTACTCAAAGTAGTGTCACTGAGGTATATCAGATGTCAAAAGCATCCTGAAGCCTAGTGGAGAGAGCTGCACAGGTTAGTATATCAATATCAATAAGGTAATCATAACAGAGAGAAGAGGAGGTTCACAAGAAATCAGGTCACAACAGGGACCAAATCAGGCCATAAAAACACAAATAAGGAAGAATAATTGACTTCTACTGCTTAAAAAAAAGAAAAGAAAAATTCACTAATGAACTGACCTGTCATCATATTGGCGCTGCTGACAGGCGTACTGCCCCCTGGCATGCTAGATGAGCCCATTCGAGCCTGGTCCTTCACAACAGTGTCTAGAAAAAGACAAAAATGTTAAGTTCTGTTATGCTTAACGATTACTAATGATCTTAAAGCAGTCACGTTCATGCTTTCAATCTTATTTATATTCCATATAATTCCAAGAAGAACTTAAGGTGGCAACTGCCTTGTCTTCACCATGAATTAGACAAGTAATAGAAAATAGAATTATCTTTCCTGTCAAACTAGTAAAGGCAACCTATAAAATTAAATGGTAGGAAGATGAGGTAATTATCCATGGTAGATCTAATTTAAAACAAAACTGATCCTGTTAGGGTTTAATAAGATAATATAATCTAACCTAGCCTAGAGTGATATATTATCAGAGTGAAATGATCTTATTGCAGCCCACAACTCAACTGGTTAAGCATGGTACCAAATAGGCCAAAGTTATATCTTGTGCAAATTAGTGCTATTACCATAGACTTCAGGTCATTCTGCTTCAGATACAAGAGACTGGGCAACCGCATAATCAGTTCACTACAAAACCACTCCAACACTCCAAGGAATAATCCAATGTTGAAGCTAACATCACAGTGGAGATGGAGTGGGTCTAATTGACATTTTCACCCAGGACAGCACAGTTAGCTATATCACAAACCTAAGTCAAGGTGTTCATACAGTTAAGATTTTGAAGCTTCTTTGGCTCTCCAATAAATTATAACCAGAGACAGGACAGATATAGGGCTATGTATATATATATAAAAGCCTAAGCAACCATCCGACCGTCCAACCAGTAGCTATGACGTGCACTGACCACCAGGGGGCAGATGCTCAACGCAGGAGCTGCAAGCTGTGGTGACTTGGCAGCTCAGCTCTAGAGTGACACACCTGGAACCAGAGAGGATGGAGCCTGATTCTGGGGTTCGTCACCAGAGAACCGTCTTCTCGCAATCTGGGACCCCTCAGGGGATGTTGGAGAGCCAGTTTTGGCCCGATCCCCACAGGCCAGGTGGAGGGACCCCACCCGCCGGTGCAGGAATCCATGCACTGGGCCTCTAGTTCATTATTAGCTAACCTCTGAGAAGTGTCACTAACAGTAAGAAAAGCAGTTTTTTTTTTAGGAACAATCATGTATTAAGTACTATCAGACAAGAATCCTTCCAACAATTCTGTAAGACAGTTGCCATCACTGTCCTCATTTGAAGAAACCAAGGCTCACTGTGGGTGAAATAACTTTGCCACAGGCTAAGCAGAGCTGGGATTCCAACTCTCTTCTGGCGGGACCATGGGTCCACAGTTTTCTTCACAGCATATATTTTCCCTTGTCTTGTACAGTCTGCTGGGCAGGCCTACACAGGCTCTATGGATTGAACAGCTGGACTCACAGAAATAGGGGTGTTCCATGGCTTCTCTTGCAGTGAGCCGTGACTGGTGGTCATATCGCAGGAGCTTGTCCAGGAAATCCAAGGCCTCAGGGCTGACAAGGTGCTGGTTTTCACTGTGGACAAAGCGTTCCCATCGCTTACGGGAGTGTCTGCAGAGCCAAAAGGGATAATAAGAAATAAACAAGGGGCAGAGAAGCCCAACATTTATTTCACTCCTAAATTTTCCTTAGTGACTAGGAGCCCAGCCACTAGCAAAAAGAAATCAAAACTCAAGAGAGCAGTTTTATAGTACTCTGTCACTGGGGAGACAACCAAGCTAACTGGAGAGACTGAAAACAGCAGTGTTGCACAAAAGAGAAATCTGGGTGCTCACAATTTTATAAACCATAATTCATGTTCCTTTACAATACTGAATACTTCTGCACAGCAAGGAGGGTCAGGTGGCTGGTCTCACCAGGCCTCTTTCCCATCCATCCCCTCACACATTCCTGGCATCTCTGCCTTTCATCAGGAAAGTCCACCTCCTGGTAAGTGGTGAATGAATTAGTATTGTGCCTAGCCACTATTTTCAGAGTCTGTTCATTGTCTGTCTGCACATCAGTCTTGAAACATACATTTCCTATTACTATTTATTTCTCTTGCAGTGGTTCTCAACCTTCTGGCCCTTTAAATACAGTTCCTCATGTTGTGACCCAACCATAAAATTATTTTCGTTGCTACTTCATAACTGTAATGTTACTACTGTTATGAATCGTAATGTAAATATCTGATATGCAGGATGGTCTTAGGCGACCCCTGTGAAAGGGTTGTTCGACCGCCAAAGGGGTCGCGACCCACAGGTTGAGAACCGCTGTAGAGGGTTTTGTCATTTGGAGAAGCTAAGTCAACTATAGCCCTTCTATTAGAATCTACATTTCATTACTTTTACAGGAATCCTCTGACAATAATCTCCACACCTGTCCTGTAAGTGAATTTGGGAAAACTGCCAGTCAATCCAGTGATTTTATCACAGAATCACCCAAGCAGCACCCTGTAGTACAGGACCAGTGATGCTTTAGCAGTGCTGGCAAAGAGGATGTAACTATTTTTTTTAAATAGTTTTAAAGAAATATATTTTATTGGTTTTTAGAGAGAGAAAGTGAGAGGGAGGAAACATCAATGTGAGAACAAAACATCGATCAGCTGCCTCCTGCACGCCCCCCACCGGGGAATCAAGCCTGCAATCTGGTATGTGCCCTGACCAGTAATCAAACCGGCAACCTTTCAGTGCACAGGATGACGCCAAACCAACTGAGCCACACTGGCCAGGGTCATAACTATTTTTTGATGCATAGATTTTGTTTTATGACTCACCTGCCCAAGATATCATTGAAACGTGGATCTAATTCAATGTTGTATTTGTCAATATAGTCATATAAATCTTCTGTCCCCAGAACCTTGGCTATCCTCACCAACTAGGATTGAAGAAAGACAAAAACCCACACAACAATCATGTTACAAGATTAAATCAACAAACAGCCATGATTGGATTAACAGCAAGGGATCATCGTGGCTACAAGGTATGCACATACACTCAATTTACTTCAGATTTCTGTGTACCGTAGGGATAATTTCCACACAAAATTCTCTAAATCAGAACTCAATGTGATGGTGTAAAAAAAGAAAAAACAAACAATGATATAACCTGGTTCCTTTCCCTTGAAACGTCTCCCAGATGAAGTCTTATGTTTTTACCCTCACAACCCAGCTAGTGGTGTCACTTCTTTTGGGAAACTCCCCTTGTACACTCAGACCACTCACTTCCACAACTGCCTTTTGTACCTTGTCTACGTTTCTATTCTGACATTTATAACTGTAACTTATTTCCTTGTATGTTTGATTCCCTTACTAGACTATGAACTATTTGAGAGGCTGGACTAATCTTTTTCCTTAGTACTTTTAAAAATATGTTTTTATTGACTTTTTGTAGAAAGAGGAAGGGGAAGGGAGAGATAGAAACACCGATGAGAGAAACATTATTGATCAGCTGCCTCTTGCATGCCCCTGGGTTTGGATCGAGCCCCAAATCCAGCATGTGCCCTGACTGGAAATTGAATCAGTGACCTCTTAGTGCCTGGATGGACGCTCAACCACTCAGGCACACAGGCCAGGGCTAAACTAAACTTAAAAAAAAAAAAAAAAAAAAAAAAAAAAAAAAAAAAAAAAAAGAAAGAAAGAAAGAAAAGAAAGCCCTAACCGGTTTGGCTTAGTGGATAGAGCGTCAGCCTGCGGACTGAAGGGTCCCAGGTTCGATTCCAGTCAAGGGCATGTACCTGGGTTGTGGGCACATCCCCAGTAGGAGGTGTGCAGGAGGCAGCTGATCCATGTTTCTCTCTCATCGATGTTTCTAACTCTCTATCCCTCTCCCTTCCTCTCTGTAAAAAATCAATAAAATATATTAAAAAAAAAAACAACTATGTTGTTAAAAGATATTTAAAGAAAATGCCAAGAAAGTGTTTGTTTTAAAGTATGTTTCAAAGCACCATGTACAACATATGTATTAAATACATAATCATAGCCCTAATCGGTTTGGTTCAGTGGACAGATTGTCAGCCTGCGGACTCAAGGGTCCCAGGTTCGATTCCGGTGAAGGGCATATACCTTGGTTGCGGGCACATCCCCAGTAGGGAGTGTGCAGGAGGTAGCTGATCGATGTTTCTCTCTCATCGATGTTTCTAACTCTCTATCCCTCTCCCTTCCACTCTGTGAAAAATCAATAAAATATATTAAAAAAGAAAAAAGAAAGAAGTCTTCCCCAACCCTGCATGGCGCCTCATAAAGACTTGTTGATTTTAACTGATCTTCAAGGGGAAGTGGAGCTAGTTTAAAAAACATCATCTATATTTCTACTGACATACACCAACTCAATCCATATAGAGATACAAAAGGAGCCCTAGCTGGTTTGGCTCAGTGAATAGAGCGTTGGCCTGTGGACCAAAGGGTCCCAGGTTCGATTCCAGTCAAGGGCACACACCCAGGGTTGCGGGTTCGGCCCCCAGTGGGGGGCGTGCAGGAGGCAGCCAATCAATGATTCTCTCTCATCATTAACGTTTCTATCTCTCTCCCTCTCTCTTCCTCTCTGAAATCAGTAAAAATATATTAAAAAAGAGACAAAAGGATCATAGAAATACCATATATAAATCAACATGTTGAAGTTGAAAACTCACATTAAAGGATTCTAAAGTAATGTCCTATTTTACATGTATAATTTACAATGAAACAAGCAAACAAATCAATAAACTAGGGGAAAAACTCAGTGATTTCAAAAGGCTAGAGTGAACGGTAGCTCCCAAAACACCAATATGAGAATCAATGTTGGGCTGACTGAATAAGCCATGAATTGAAAATTATTCTAGGGTCTCACTCTAAAAGATTGGGATGGGCATCTATATTTTAGCAAAATCCACCAGTTTCTACTAAGTAGCTAGATCTCATCATCACTAGGTTAGCCCAGTAAGTTGCCTAATGAGAACAACATGTATCACCTGATCATAATTGTCATGTCCATGAAAAAATGGCTCCTTCCGAAAAATCATACTTGCCAGCATACAGCCCAAACTCCACATATCCAAACTATAATCGTACATCTGCATTGAAGTTAAAAAAAAAGTAAGTTATAAATGAAATGATAAGAATAAATTATCTTGTACTTTCCAAATAAAAAATTACTATTTAAAAAAAATATCACTCCACTAAAATGTCCAAAAACCAATAACATCTTCATATACATTTTTCAATTTTTTCTTCTATGCATTTCCCCCCATGTTAAAACAATCTGTACATACTATCTTGAATTACCTTTTTCACTCACATAAAAACATCTCAAGTTGTTAGCCTCTGGAAACCATTTAATGTGTGACATTATTTTATTGCATAAATGTTTCAGAATTTAATCTTTAATTTCCCTATAATAGGATAATGTTTTGTTTAATAATACAAATAATTATAAATAATATCATAAAGAATATTTTTGGCCCTGGTCATGTTGCTCAGTTGGTTATAGCATCATCCTGATATGCCAAGGTTGTGGGTTCAATCCCCAGTCAGGGCGCATATAAGAATCAATCACTGAGTGCATGAATAAGTGGAACAAAAATCAGTATTTCTCAAAAAAAAAGCAATACTTTTTTTTTTAAAAGAAAGAATATTTTTATGCACAAAATGTTCAAACTCAGGGTTATATCCTCAAGATCCTAGAAAAATAATTTCTAGGACAGTTTTAACTTTTTTTTTTAAATATACATATATTTTATTGATTTTTTACAGAGAGGAAGGGAGAGGGATAGAGTCAGAAACATCGATGAGAGAGAAACACCGATCAGCTGCCTCCTGCACACTCCCCACTGGGGATGTGCCCGAAACCAAGGTACATGCCCTTGACAGGAATCGAACCTGGGACCCTTCAGTCCTCAGGCTGGCGCTCTATCCACTGAGCCAAACCGGCCAGGGCCAGTCTTAACTTTTTAAGGTATCTGATAACATCTGGGAGGACTGGGCACGAAAGGTACTACCAAGGATTTTGTTTCTGTGAGAAGAGGGCTTTTTTAGTAAAGGGAAGGTCTTTATATATAGAACTAGAGGCCTGGTGCACGAATTCGTACACAGGTGGGGTCCAGCTGGCCCGCCCAGATTGGGGCCGATCAGGGGTGGGGCCGGCTAAGGCAGTGGTCGGCCAACTGCGGCTCGAGAGCCACATGCGGCTCTTTGGCCCCTTGAGTGTGGCTCTTCCAAAAAACACCACGTGCGGGTGCGCACGTACAGTGCGATTGAAACTTTGTGGCACATATGCAGAAGTCGGTATTTTGTGGAAGAGCCACACTCAAGGGGCCAAAGAGCCACATGTGGCTCGAGAGCCAGTTTGCCAACTACTGGAAGGGGCCGCAGGTGGTTGGCCGGCTGGCCCCACTCCCTATCAGGCCGGTTGGCCAGCTGCAGTGGGCTGCAGTGGGCGTCATAGCTCCAGTCATTCTGGTGTTCTGGTTGCTGGGTTTTTATATATATACTAGAGGCCTGGTGCACAAAAAATTGTGCACTCGGGGGGTCCCTCAGCCTGGCCTGTGCCCTCTCGCAGTCTGGGACCCCTCAGGGGATGACCACCTGCTGGCTTAGGCCCGCTCCCTGGGGGATTGGGCCTAAGCTAGCAGTCAGACATCCCTCTGGCAGCTCGGGAGCCCTCAGGGGATGTCCACTTGCCAGTGGGGAGCACGCCTAAGCTGCAGTCGGACATCCTTAGCGCTGCTGAGGAGGCAGGAGAGGCTCCCACCACCACCGCTGTACTGGCAGCCGTCAGCCTGGCTTGCGGCTGAGCAGAGCTCCCCCTGTGGGAGCGCACTGACCACCAGGGGGCAGCTCCTGCATTGAGCATCTGCCCCCTGGTGGTCAGTGTGTGTCATAGTGACCAGTGATTCCCAGTCGCTCTGCTGTTAGGGTCAATTTGCATATTACCCTTTTATTATATAGGACAGAGGCCTGGTGCATGGGTGGGGGCCGGCTGGTTTGCCCTGAAGGGTGTTCTGGATCAGGGTGGGGGTCCCATTGGGGTGCCTGGCCAGCCTGGGTGAGGGGCTGAGGGCCGTTTTCAGGCTGGCCACACCCCCTTCAGGGAGGGGGGTCCTGCTGGGGTGCCTGGCCAGCCTGGGTGAGTGGCTAATGGCTGTTTGTAGGCTGGCCACAGCCCCTTCAGCGTAGGGGCTCCCCCTGGGGTCCCTGGCCAGCTTGGGTGAGGGGCTGATGGCTGTATGCAGACTGGCCACGGCCCCCAGCCACCCAACCTCCCAGTGGAGGCTGGCTGGAAGCAGGTATCTGGGCTTTATTTATCTTCTATAATTGAAACTTTGTTGCCATGAGCGGAGGCCACAGCCGGCTCAGGGCAGGTGGGAAGCTTGGCTTCCTCCATCGCCCGGGCAACCAAGCCTCCTGCTTGCTCCAGCTCCGTGGCTGCTAGCCGCCATCTTGGTTGGGTTAATTTGCATATAGTCGTTCTGATTGGCTGGTGGGCGTGGCTTGGGGAGCACAGTAAAGGTATGGTCAATTAGCATCTTTGTCTTTTATTAGTGTAGATAGATACAATTTATGAAAATCTTGAGAGCATTTTTTAGTTTAGTCCTTAGGTTGGTTAAACCTATTCTCTGGAGTTTCTAAATAGAAAAGTTTATCTTTGGTTTACTTTTTCTTCAGTTAGGATCAAATGAAGATCTATTCATATTCTATGGACATTATGAGAATAAAAACAAATTACAGTAGATGAACTGAGGTAATTCATATTTTACATTTATATAAAAGGGACAGCCATGGACATGTATAAGTAACCTACTCAAAATGACAGCTTTTGCAAATTATGTACAAAATAAGCATAGAATAGAAACTTTTTGTTAATTCTCACTTGAGGATTTTTTTTCCATTTCAGAGAGAGTGGAAGGGAGGGAGGGACAGAGAAAAAGAGACACACACACACACACACACACACACACACTGATTAGTTGCCTCCTGCACTTGCCTTGACCTGGGCTAGGGATCAAACCTGCAACCCAGGTAAGTGCCCTTGACCAGGAATCAAACATGCCACCTTTTGGTTTGGGGCTGACGCTATAATTACTGAGCGACACTGACCAGAGCTAAGACAGAAATTTTATTTGCGGTTCTCTTCTCACCTGATAGTCTACAAGTAGCTCAGGACCTTTGAAGTATCGAGAAGCAACTCGGACATTATATTCTTGGCCAGGATGGTAAAACTCAGCTAAACCCCAGTCTATTAGCCGTAGCTGAAAGAAAAAAAAGAGAATAAATCATAAGCAATTTTATCTTACAAGCTATTCCATACATTGCAGTGGTTCTCAACCTGTGGGCTGCGAACAATGAAAATACATCCTGCATATCAGATATTTACATTACGATTCATAACAGTAGCAAAATTACAGTTATGAAGTAGCAACGAAAACAATTTTATGGTTGGGGGTAACCACAACACGAGGAACTGTTAAAGGGTCGCGGCATTAGGAAAGTTGAGAACCACTGCTACATTGCCTTTAGGGTACTCTTAAAAACTAGAGGCCCGGTGCACAACATTCATGCATAGTGCGGTCCCTAGGCCCGGCTGGCGATTGAAGTGCGAGGGTCTGGCGTGGAAGGGCAGGTCCCAGCTGACCTTTCGGTCCTGGGCAGCACCTGGGCCACCAGGCCCCTGTGCGCCCTCCTCAACCTGAGTCACGGTGCCCAAATCCCTACGCGAAGATGCAGTGAGCATGCCCAGACGCCGTGGGCCGGGGCGCAGCGTGGGCCTCTGGGCCGCCCAGTGGTGCCACACAGAAGCTGGGTGGGCAGTGCGCTCTCCTCTGGCCGGCCTCGCAGACTGGCTCCTGCGCGAACCCATGGGGAGCCTGATTGGCCTCTGCGGCCCGGCTCACCAGGAAGAGGCTACACGGGTGCAGGGCGGGCTTCTCATGGGTGCCCAGAACCTGAGTGCGGGGACTTCCCCGGTGCCCGAGCCCTGGCATCCCAGGGGTGTGTAGCAGGGGGAGTTCAAGCAAGCTTAGCGAACACCCCGCATTCTCACTGCACCTCTGTCAACCCTGCCCCCAGGTAGCTGGCGAGAGGTCTAAGCCCCCCGCCCAGGTGCCACAGGAGGTTGGTTGCTGCCACCCACCCCCCAGTTCCCCGTCCCAACCCAGGGCCCTGCCCTGATTGGGTGATGGGGGCCTGCGGCAGCTCCTGTGTTAAGCATCTGCCCCTTGGTGGTCAGTGCACGTCATTGTGACTGGTTGTTCCATTGTAACGGCCAGTTAGGCTTTTATATACATAGACGAGAGGCCCTGTGCACGAAATTCGTGCACTTGGGGGGTGGGGTCGTCCCTCAGCCCGGCCTGCACCCTCTCACGGTCCGGGAGCCCTTGCCACTGCCGCTGCGCTCACCAGCCATGAGCCCGGCTTCTGGCTGAGTGGTGCTCCCCTTGTGAGAATGCACTGCCCACCAGGGGGCAGCTCTTGAATTGAGCGTCTGCCCCCTGGTGGTCAGTAAGCATCATAGTGATTGGTCAATCGCCGTTTGGTCAATTTACATATTAGCCTTTTATTATATACGAAGATACCAGCCATGTAACTTTAAATTAAAACCCCTTCAGTGACTACCTATTATACGGGGGGTGGGTGGAAGGGGGAACGTCAAAAGTAGATTTACAGTTTTCATATGGAAAAATATAATACAAGAATAAATAATACAGGAATAAACTGTGATTCACATACCCACAACTGTAAACCTAGTTTTGCCAACCCCTGTATTTAAGATGAAAATCGAACTTTTTGGAAAACCCTGTTTAGCTTGACAGATAGTTTTCATGACTTAATTCTTGTGCTCCAGGGAGACCCACTGAAAGACAATTTCATTTTGTGGCTTCTGCAAATTTCTTAAACTGCTCAGCTGAGTAGAATGTCTAGGCTTTTCCTAGACTCCTATTGGTTAAGTTAGGTCCTCACTGAAGTCTTTTCTAATTATCAAGTACAACCAACCATTGCCTTTAGTCCCTCCCTAAACCTCAGATATACTGCTTTAATAGAACCCACAAATCTTTAAAAATATTTTACTTTATTTTTTTTTGGGGGGGGGGAGAGAAAAAGAGGGAGAGAAGGGGAGGGAGAAATTTGTTTTCCACTTATTTATGCATTCATTGGTTGCTTCTTTTATGTGCTATGACTGGGGATCAAACCCGCAACCTTGACACATCAGGATGATGCTCTAACATCAGTGGTCGGCCAACTCATTAGTCAACAGAGCCAAATATCAACAGTAAGTACAACGACTGAAATTTCTTTTGAGAGCCAAATTTTTTAAACTTAAACTAGTGAATGAAGTAAGAGAAAAGCCGCACAAAATGGCCTTTTACCAAAATGTATCCTGAAAGTGGAAAAAGTACTAGCACAGTCAAGAGGCAATCTTATTTTCCCATTGTGTAAAACATAAGCATGATTTGAATTGTGGGTACTAGAGTGTGACTAATTTGTCACTGTTAACTAGGTACAGTGTCTTCATTGTTTTGGTGAACAAAGGGAATTACAACAAAAGGTACGAAAGTATATATATATTTAAAAAATATATATTTTATTGATTTTTTTTTTTTAACAGAGAGGAAAGGAGAGGGATAGAGAGTTAGAAACATCGATGAGAGAGAAACATCAATCAGCTGCCTCCTGCACGCCCCGTACTGGGGATGTGCCCGCAACCGAGGTACATGCCTGTGACCGGGAATCGAACCTGGGACCCTTCAGTCTGCAGGCCGACGCTCTATCCACTGAGCCAAGCCAGTCAGGGCGAAAGTATAATTATTTTTACAGTCTTTCTCTCCAACCCCTTAAAAAAAGTGCTTCAGAGCTATCCCTGAGCTTCTTTTTTTTTTTTTTTAAAGCAACAAGTACTCCCAGATGAGTATTTCTAGCCCCATGGCTTCACACACAGCATATCAGCATTTCTTACTTATACTCTCTAGCTCAGCAGTCGCCAACTGGTGGTCCACAGACCACTCATGAGGTCCCAAAGGTTGGTGACCACTCCTCTAGCCCATGTTTTCTACCAGCCATCTCTGCCTCTCTGATCACCTAGCAAACATCTCAGAGCTAAACCTAATCATTCCCTTTCTCCCACAGCCTCTGCCTTGTCAGTTAAAGGTAATTCCATTCACCCTATCATTCAGGCCAAAAACACTTCACCCTGGACTCTTGTCTCCCTTACACTCAACATCTATCTAATCTGTCAACAAATCTTGTTGGATCATATTCTGACCATCATCATCACTTCCACTGCTACTGCCCTGGTTCATGCCACCACCATCTCTTGTCTGATGTACTGCAGTAGCCTCTTCTCCTAACTTGTCAAGCTGCTTTCACTCTTGCCCTCTATTCTCTACACAGCAACCAGAATGATCCCTTTTATTATTTTTTTAAAAGTATATCTATTTTAAAAAAATATATATTTTATTGATTTTTCACAGAGAGGAAGGGAAAGGGATAGAGAGTTAGAAACATCGATGAGAGAGAAACATCGATCAGCTGCCTCCTGCACGCCTCCCACTGGGGATGTGCCTGCAACCAAGGTACATGCCCTTGACTGGAATCGAACCCGGGACCCTTCAGTCCGCAGGCTGATGATCTATCCACTGAGCCACACCGGTTAGGGCTAGAAGTATATCTTTATTGATTTCAGAGAGGATGGGAGAGGGAGAGATAAGAAACATCGATGAGAGAGAATCATTGATTGGCTGCCTCCTGCACACCCCTTACTGGGGATCGAGCCCACAACCTGGGCATATGCCCTTGGCCAGAATTGAACCTGGGACCCTTCAGTCCACAGGCCGATGCTCTATCCACTGAGCCAAACTGGCTACGGCCAGAATGATCCCTTTTAAATGCTTTATATTTTTAAAATTATTATAAATTTATAGTAAGTTGCGAATTCTGTGTACCCTTCACCCAACTTTACATTTCCTAATGGTACAACTCAAAACCAGGAAACTGACATTGGCACAGTCCACAGACAGACCTCATTATTCACTAGTTTTACATGCTGGTGTGTGTGTGTGTGTATAGTTCTATGTAACTTTATCATGTGTAGATTCGGGTAACTCCTACCATAAGATACAGAACTATTCCATCATCACAGATGTCCCTTTTGCTATTACTTTTCCACTTTCTAACCCCTGTCAACCCCTATTCTCTAGCTCTATGACTTTGAGAATGTATTATAAATGGAAAAAATCAGCACAACTTTTTTCCCCCCACTCAGCATGAGATCCAATCAAGTTGTTGCATTATCAGTAATAGTTCATTCCTTTTTATTCCTGAGTAATACTATTCAGTAATAACACTACATGATATAGATATACCTGTTGGATTAAACATTCACTCACTGAAGGACATTTGCCTCCCAATTTTCTTTTTTTTAAAAAACAGTCTTTTTAAATTAATAAAGAGGGAAAGACAGAAACATTGATATGAGAGAAACACATCAATTGACTGACTCCTGCATGTGCCCTGACCAGGGCCCAGGAGAAGCCTGCAACCAAGCTACCTGCCCTTGACCGGAATCGAACCCGGGACCCTTCGGGCTACAGGCCGATGCTCTATCCATTGAGCCAAACCAGCTAGGGCCTAATTTTCAACTATTAGGAATAAAGCTGCATTCATATACAGGTTTTTGTGCAGACCTAAGGTTTGGTTTCTCTGGAATAAATGTCACTGCTGGATTGTTTGGTAAGCATGTTTGTTTACACACAGCATATTTGTATTTGTAATATGTCTTTTTTATTTGTAATGTCTTTTCTTTAAAATTGATTTTAGAGAGAATTGAAGGGAAAGAGAAATATCGATGTGAGAGAGAAAATATTGGGGACTAGAAACACAAACTGGGCATGTGCCCTGACCTGGAATTGAACCGGTAACCTTCTAGTGAACGGGATGATGCTCAACCAACTGACCCACTCCAGCTGGCGCTGTTTGTTTAGCTTTTAAAGAAACCAACAAACTATAAAACAATAGGCTGGCATTTTCCAAAATGGCTGTGCCACTTTACATTCCCACCAACAATGTATGAGAGATTGAATTTTTGTGCATCCTTGCCAGCATTTGGTATTGCGCTGTTTTTCAAATTGTTCTAATAGATGTGTAGTAAACTTTAAAAATGCCAAGTGAGAGCTTGTCCACCCTTTCCACAAACCCTGCAAAAGCTCTGCATCTTTAGAGAAAAGTTCTGACAATATTTAAGGTTTTACATGACCTGGCTTTCTTTACCTCTCTCATCCCACTCCCACTCCCCATCCCTGTCTCCACTGTATATCCTTGCCACTGTTCCAACAAGCCAGGCACATTTTTGCCTCAGAACTTTGCATCCTCTACCTGGGACATATTTCTTCCTAAGGTTGCATGGCTGATGCCCTCAAGTGTTCTCTAAATATGTCAACTTCCCAATGAAATCTTCCCTTTACCCCTTATTTAAAACCACAACATCCCCTGCTCTTTCCTATTCCTGACTTATTGCTCTTCCACATCACTTTTAACTTTCTGGCCTCACAGCATACCCGCAAAGGCAAGCTCCTTATGGACAAGAATTTTTTACTATCTGCTTCAAGCATATATCCCCTGCCTCTAGAACAATACCATGCATAGTGTGTATCTAAAAAAATTTTAGTTGAATGAACAAATCCTGTACATCTCCAAAGTCTACAACAGAGAGTCATCACTACCTACAAAAGGTACGCTTGGTTATCTTACAAAACTGAAATATTATAAAGCATGAGTTCAGTAGAACTCTCATTAATAGCACTTGTACTTGCTAAATATTTCATCTATTTCACAACTGTGCACACTTAATTCTCACATTAACCTAGTGGCATGCAGAGCAAATATTATTATACCTGTTATACAGGTAAGAGAGAGGAAGCAAACAAGAAAGGAGTTTCCCAGATACTAGTTATTCAATAAATAAAACCAGAAGTCGGGTTCCATGCCCAAAACTGATTTGCCCACTATTCTAATGTTTCCTTCTTCTTTTTTTTTTAAACATATTTTATTGATTTTTTACAGAGAGGAAGAGAGGGATAGAGAGTTAGAAACATCGATGAGAGAGAAACATCAATCAGCTGCCTCCTGTACACCTCCTACTGGGAATGTGCCGGCAACTAAGGTACATGCCCTTGACCGGAATCGAACCTGGGACTCTTGAGTCCGCAGGCCCACGCTCTATCCACTGAGCCAAACCGGTTAGGGAAAATGTTTCCTTCTTGACAGTATTCTTTTTGTTGTTGTTAATCCTCACCTGAGGATATTTTTTTCATTGTTTTTTTTTAGAGAGTGGAAGGGGAAGGGAGTGGGAGAGAGACAGGAGAGGGAGAGAGACACAGAGAAAACATCAATGTGAGAGAGACATATCAATTGGTTGCCTCCCGCATGCTTCCAGACTGGTGCCAGGAATGGAACCTGCAACCCAGGTACGTGCCCATGACCAAGAATTGAACCTGTGACCCTTTAGTGCAGGAGCTGATGCTCTATCCACTGGACCACATTGGCCAGGGCATCCTTCTTGATAGTATCATTAGGAATATGAATAAAGGTTTAAACATTCTTGCCCTGACTGGTTTGGCTCAGTGGATGGAGTGTCGGCCTGTGGACTGGAAGGTCCCGGGTTTGATTCCGGTCGGGGGCATGTGCCTTGGTTGCAGGCACATCCCCAGTAGGAGGTGTGCAGGGGGCAGCTGATCGATGTTTCTCTCTCATCGATGTTTCTGACTCTCTGTCTCTCTCCCTTCCTCTCTGTAAAAAATCAATAAAATATATTTTAAAAAAAAAAGGTTTAAACATTCTGATTAGTTAATTTATTCATTCACCAAATATGTGTCAAGTGCCTAATAGGTACCAGGGACTGTAACAGATGCTAGGGATAAAGTGTTGAAGATGGGCTGTTCACTCTATCAGGCAGGAAAAGATTTGTCAGTCTATCACATTACCTTTCTGTGCTCATGATCAATCATGACATTATGGGGCTTCACATCTCTGTGCATAATTCCCATGCTATGACAATAATCCAGGGCCTGTAAGAGAAATAGGTAAAAACAAAAACAAAAGCTTGCATATGAGTGATTTTCTAGTTAAAGCTTTTTACTTTTCCTCTATAGTTTTCTTTCTAGTCTCAAAACACCCCTGGGAGTCAGGGTTAGGACAATCACTCTGACAGCTATTTCTCAGACTTGCTCAAGATCCTAAAATCAAACTCATGGCCTCTGAACTTCAAGTTCTGTTCTTACACTGTTGTTACAACATCCTTTCTCTTCAAAAAGACCCAAAGTGACACCAATTGCATCACTTCCAATTTTTCTCCCTTATATAAAGCCTGGATTATTTTCATAAGCATAGGCCCCTCAAAAGAAGAAAACTGATCTATACTACAAAGTGTTCTTCAAAGAACAATAATTCTTTATCAGCTAAGTGTTTACAGTAGAGGTCCATGGCCCATATATTGCTTGATGCCTGTTTTTGTGAATGTTTATTTTACTGGAACACAGCCACACCTATTTGCATGTTGTCTGTAGCCGCTTTCGTACGACAACAGAGCTGAGTAGCTTGAGAAAGACCCTATGGAACACAAAGCCAAAATTTTTATTGTTTATCCCTGTACTGATGCTTGCCAACTCCTGTTTTATGACATCAAATCTAATTTGAAAACCATGTCCAAACTCAAACTAAGGTGAACTGAGTGGTACAACCTTTGGGATTTGCTAATCCTGGCTTTTAGATCAGCTGATGTCATTGGCCAAATTCTTGTCCTTTTTAAAGGGCAACTTGAGTTCCTATGGTTCCTAGGACTAGTCAAGCATATCCTTAACTTCATGAAGTCCTGCTTGCCACAAGACTGCATGAGCCAATGGGAAGATCAAATATCTCTACTGGCATAGTCTCTTCAAGGTACTTCTAAGGTTCAAATAAAGGCTTTACATCAACCCTCATTTCATAAGAAACTTTAGCCAACTCTTAGCAATTTTCTCATATATAAAGTTGATCTTGTGACTACTAGGAGGAAGATAATTTGGTGATCCCACTTTAGAAGTCAAAGTCCACTCTAAATCAGCAATCTCTAAGCAGTGATTTATGTAATCTTAAAACAACGACCCTTTGACAGCTGAGGAAGTTTCTTGTTTTACTTGTTCAATTTTAAGTGAAATAGAGTATACCAGAAGCCAACACATCTGGAGATATTTTTACAAGTTTGAACAATTTAACTGTTAACTTTCATAAGAGCAAAATTGAGATTACAAATATTTATGGGGCCCCAGCTCTCTTCTAAATACTCTTTTCAAACCATTCTAAATTATATTCCTACTAGACCCTATTCCATACCCCTTACATTAGCAGAAGAGTTCTGATGCTATTAACTTATTAAAAACTTACATGAAAAGGCCCCTTCTTTCAACATATTTTAAAAGTTAATTCACTAGCTTTTCTATAGTCATTTGAGTTATTTAACAAAGGTAAGATCAATCTAAAAGTATTTAGTATTCAAAGTTCCCTTACCTTCAGAATCTCATACATGTAAAACCGAATATCATAGTCTGTTAACGTCTGGTATAATTGCTGTTAAAGACAAATGCAACATTTGAGCCATGAAATACTGCTAATGGAAGGCAGTTTCTCATCTTCATTTGTAGTAATTCAAACCAAGACTTGGCTCATTTGCCATCATTCCAAGATCTGTATCTACACCAGTCTCTACTTCTTCAACATAACATTCCCTTTAAAGAGATACGCTGAGTCTTTAACTGTATATGCAAAAGTCAAGAATTACTTAACTTGTATTTCTGAAGCTAAAATTCACTGTTGGGAATATACCAGTTTATCTATAAATAAACTGTAAGTAATATGCACTGATATACATTTGCAATCAAGTTTGCTTTTCATTTACCTCCAGACCTTCTCAAAAAAGGCATTTTGGCAAATACACAGCCTCCTTAGTAGGAAACTACCTCATCTGCAGATCACCAGTGAGTATGCAGATGGCTCGCTGCCAAATCTGTCAAGCCAATTTAACAGAATTATTCCTCTCCCAATTTGAAATAAACTCTGAACAACTGTTATGTATCCTTTCCAGCTTCCAAAGAGTTATGGTCTTTAAAAAAACAAAAAAACAACAAATGCACATGTCATTAAATGGTTAGTGACGTCATCTGACGTTTTCTTTGAAGTTATTGCTCTGTTTCTAAAACAGTTCCTTTTTTCCTTATTTCAGCAAAAGAATTCACCCATTTATTGATATCTAAAATTCTTCATACTGAATTGGTTCAAAGGCGAGTCAAATACCTTACAACTTGAAACTGAACAGAGTGTCGATATTTTTTTTTTTGTACTAGAATTGAGAATTGTTTGAAGTAGGCTGCTGGATGGGCGGGAAGTCAGAGATCAGTTGTAGAGGTATGTGTCGTAGCAGAATTTACACCACCCTAACCCAGAGGAATCCTAAGTTATAAGAAGACTTTGCTTTTCATACACAATACATTCCTCCTTGAACACTGCCATTTCAAAGTAAAATGCCCACGGACAGATCCTGACTGAACATGTGTTATTGCTTTCATTACGTTTGACATCAGGAAAAACTGTTAAATGAATGGTAAAGGTGGTGAAAAGTAAATGTATTTGGTTATTAAAGAGAGCACACAACAAATAAAAGTGTAAAATGCCAAGATGTGGAAAGTGGCAGTTTGTACAGCAGTATTTCTATCTTATAATTTAACACTGTGAAGATGAAAAGCTCTTTTAAGCAAGTTGGAAGGAAGTTCTTCTAATACTAATATCCCTAAAAGGCTTTCTATGTAGTCTGAAAACCCAACAGCTTGAAAAGATTGGTTATATATTATACCTTGAAGTCTGTGTTGTTTACATGTTCAAAAACCAAGGCAGGAGTTCGTGACTAGGGAAAAGAAAAAGAAAACACACATTAGCAAAAGCCCTGGCAGCTTTAATGAGCACAATGTTTGCGGATGCTACGTGGTGAATTTGGCAGTCCTCGCCTCAGTAGTAGGAATCCCTCTATTGCTACAAGCCCTCCCCCCTCTCTGATCACCACACTTAGGTCATTTTTGGGATGGATTTCAAACAGAAGACATGGAGCTGAAGTCTCACCAGGCTCTAGGCAGCCCGACAATGCGCCCATCGCCCATCGGCATCGGACCTGAGTTTGCAAAATGGATTAACACATTTCAGTTTCCAGTGCTATCAGTCTCTTATCCTAGAAGAATAAGAAATAGTCTGTGGGTGGAGGTCTCTTTGAAAGAAAGACCCAAACTAGTTAAATGCTATAACTGATTAAGCACTTTTAAAGCAGGACTTAACAGTAGAGGGGGGAACAGAGAGAGGCCAGCTGTGCTCTGAGTCAAACACCACCTCAGCCCTGGTGGGCCTTGCCAGCACATACTATACTTACCACAGGGTCTTTTACAATGTCTGCCAGTGTGATGATGTTGGGACCGCCTCGCAAATTCTCCAAAATCTTTATTTCACGCTTAATTTTCTTCTTCTTTACTGGCTGAAAGAGTAAAAGTTCGTACATCAGTGAAATAAAGTATTTCAGGATATTTCAATAGATAATCTAATACATACATATTTATGAGCTCCTTGAAAGAAGGAAATGTGTCGGATTCATCTCTGAATCCCCTTCTCCTAGCCCTATGACAGGCATTCTGTGGGTTACTTAGCAAATGTTGAATTGAAAGAAAAAAGATTTCCATTCCAAAGATTAGACCTTTGCAGAATTAGCATTTAATTCCAATCATCAGTCTTAAAATGTTAACTCTTTACAACTATACAAACTAGGATTATAAATGGTAATACTAATACTATAAATGGTAATCTTGAAAAATCTTTTTACCAATTAGAATGAAACAGACTTTTTCTATTCCTTCTTCTAAGTCTATAAATAAACACCCAACAGAGATTAGGGGAACAGTACCAACATCAAGAAAGGCCAAACCATCTTTGTGCAGCATAAACTTGTGGGTTAAATGTGGGCTTTGGAGTAAAAAATGCCTAATGTAAATCCTACTTTCATGACCTGCTGGCTGTATGCCTATGGGTAAGTTACATGACCGCTCTAAGCCTTCACCTGGGAAAAATGATCAACAAGAGTACTTATCTCATAAGATTGTTATAAGAATCAAGTGAAGTATATGAGATCTCAGAATATTACTGGGATAGTATCTAGCTAGCCTTATGACCAGTATTCCTATAAATGAACTCATCTCTCTATTCTAAAAAGACCACTCTGCAGAGTCTCTTAATATACTTCCATATTCTTTTGTCCTCACTCATCATTTCCACATCTGCTCTGGGACAGAATCTTTTTCATTTTTCTGAGGAGGGCTTTGGTCCAACTGCACCACCTCCACAAAGCCTTCCTCATAAGTAGTATAAAACAGTGCTGGTCCAAAAGAAATATAATGCAAACCACATGTGTATTCTAAATGTTCTAGTACCCATGTTAAAAAAAGATAAAGAAACAGCCCAGCCGATGTAGCTCAGCGGTTGAGCACTGACCCAGGAACCAAGAAGCTGCCGGTTCAATTCCAGGTCAGAGCACATGTCCAGGTTGCAGGCTCAATTCCCTGTGTATGTGTGTGTGGGGATGAGGGGGGAGGCGAGCAGGATTGATGATGTTTCTCTCTCATCAATGTTTCTATCCCTCTCCCTTCCTCTCTTTCTAAAAAGCAATAAAAACATATTTAAAAAAAAATACAGACAAAATTAATTTTAATAAAATATTTAACAAAATATATTCAAAATCTTATTTTAACATGTAAATCAATATAAAAAATTACTAATGAGCAGTATAGATATATTTATTTTACTAAGCCTTTGAAATCTAGTATATTTTATCCTTATAGCATATTTCAGTTTGGACCAGCCATACTTAAAATGCTCAATAGCCACATGTGACCCGTGCCTGCTGTACTGACCTGCAGCTCTTTCCCAGGGTGTCAGTCACCTCAGATTACTGACATACTGCATACAATTCTCAGAAATTATTTTAAGCATATATAAACTCTTCATTACTAAGATCAGTGGTTATTCAACTTTGATGATCCATAACCTGGATTTTTTAATACACAGATTCCCAGGATCCACCTACATCTGCTGAATCCGAATCTATAGAGTGTTGTTTTTTTTTTAAAAACTAAGCCAACATTTAAAAATCAGGAGAATTCACATATGTATATAAATCTTTATAGTTTCTTTCTGCAAAGGAGTATCAAGCAATGCTGGTCTTGCACTACTACAGCACCCATCACTCACCTCCTCTAATGGGCATTTGCATCAGACTAGCTGCATGTCATCTGCCTGACCTCTAAAGGCCTGCATTTGTGACTCCTCATCCTTACACTGTAGAGGTAACAATTTATTGAAAACAAAAGCATCAAATAGAATTAAAAACAGAGGAAATCAGTATTAGGAAATCAAATCAGTATTAGGCTTAGAGAGAGGACTGAACCTTTAGGCCCTTCCTCTGCCACAATATAGCTGTATGACTGGAGCCAATCACTTCTCTTGCTTTAGTTTTCTGATCTGTCAAATGAAGATAATCTCTATTGATTTCAGATAGCAAAATAAAATAAAGTGTTAAAGTACTCCAAACGCCCTTTCAAATGCTACTTTAAAAAAGGCATCACTATTACTTAAAACAAATCTAAATTCCAAATACCTCTGAAATTACAATCTCTCTTTTTTTTTACTCACCTTGAGAATTTTAACAACAACTTTTTCATTATTTGTGATGTTGATGGCTTCAAATACTTCACTATATTTACCCCGGCCTAATTTTCGAACCAGCTGGTAGTCATCTTGATTTCTGTAAACAAAGAGTCAAAATCACAATGATTTTAAAAGTTCAACTTATCAAGCATTAATTCAGCTTATAAAATTTATTACCAGTAAGAGTAAAAGAAATATGAGGTATCCTATAGAATAAAGAGCTAATATGCTAATTAGACCAGATGGTGGAATGACCTTTGGGAACGACCAGTGGGTGGGGGGACGGGGCCGAGGTGGCAGCTGGGGCTGCTGCGAGGGCCAAGCCCTTTGCACCATTTTTCATGCATCAGGCCTCTAGTTTCAAATAATTCCCAAATCATTTTCTTTATTTTAATTGGGCCAATTGAAAATGGGCGCGTTCCAAATCCTTTCAATTATTCTTTCAAACCTGAAATTGTTTACATCTATATTGGCATAGGACACATAGCTAGCTTGTATTAGGATTTATTATACATGCTTGCCTATAACAACAGCCCTAACTGGTTTGGCTTAGTGGATAGAGCGTCAGCCTGCGGACTCAAGGGTCCCAGGTTTGAGTCCGGTCAAGGGCATGTACCTTGGTTGCGGGCACATCCCCAGTAGGGAGCGTGCAGGAGGCAGCTGATCGATGTTTCTCTCTCATCGATGTTTCTAACTCTCTATCCCTCTCCCTTCCTCTCTGTAAAAAAAAATCAATAAAATATATTTAAAAAACAAACAAACAAACAAACAAACAAACAACAAAAGCTTTCCCTTGGAGATAATTTTTACATATTCCAGTCTCCTAGTGCCTGGCCCACTGCTGGCACTTAGCAGGAAGTAAATACACATTACAAGAATATTTCAATTCAGCCACATTTTGGGAGCAGCCTATTTTGAATGGGCTTCTTTGTAGGTAAGTGGCTTTCAAATATATAGGCTTGACCTCCCAATTGTTCTCCCAGGCAAGACCTGAGGACAGTCCATATAATGGAGTTTTGCAAACTATATTATAGATCATGAACCATAGTTAGGGGGTCCCTTCCTCTATTTTACCCATATTTATTTCATGACCACTAAACAATATCAGAGGTAAAAAAAAAACCACAACAAAAACGCTAACATTTTCTCTCTGCCTCTGCTTACAATTTAGAACACTTTGCTCTAAAGAATGACACAGTCCTTTTAGTAATGTCTACATTCTATTTATTCCTGCTGGAGACACTGAGAATCTAACATGTAACAAATCAGCCATTAATTTTCCTCAAGCAACTAAAAAGAAAGTGAATGAACAGAAAAGGAAAAAGGAAGTAAGGACAATGAACAACATAATAATCATGGCAGGGAAAGGGAGCTCTTAGTTCTGGTTGAGATCCCCTCCTGTGGGAAGGTAGCCTATATAATAAAAGGCTACTATGCAAATCAACTGAATGGTGGAACAACTGGTCGCTATGACGTGCGCTGACCACCGGGGGCATGGCGCAGAACATGGTGGGCATGAGCAGCAGGCGGCAGAGTGTGGAACATGGTGGGCCTTGGCCGTGGCAGGACGGTGGAGCAGGTGAGTGGGAGCGCCAGACTAAGGTGGGGCGCTGGTGACTGTCACTGAGGTGAGCCTCTGGTGGTTACTGAAAATTCTTTGCTCCCAGTACTCGCACCTGCTGCTGACGCTGGAGATGCTGCTCGCAACCGCTGCCGGGGCCCGGCGCCGGCCCTGATCACTTGGCACAGTCAGCTGGTGTGAGTGGCGGCTGCCGGCCCTGATCACCCCTGAGGGCTTCTCCAACTTCCCCTGCTCCTGAGGGGCGATCGGGGCAGCTGCTCACACCCACTGATGGCACCAGCCCCAATCGCTCCGCGCCATCAGCGGGTACAAGTGGGGCTGGCGGGAGTGGGGCTGCGGGCAGACAGGGGACCTGGGGCCGCTGTGGGAGGGGCCGGGCGCTGGTGCGGAGGATGGGCCAAGACCCACCCCTGTGCCCACTGCAGCCTCGCAGCCCACAGTTCCTTTCAAGGTGCACAAATTTGTGCCCTGGGCCCCTAGTAGAAAATAAAAGCAAGCATGTGAATAGGACCATACCAAAAACTCAATAGTGCTATTTTAGCAGAACTAAGTGCAGAGCACTAAATTTGAATAGAGTAGTTGAATTTCTGTAAAATGGAGAGGCATCCCTAGAGCCCAATGCCGGATATAAGGAGAATTGTTAGATTATCAATAACTAGACGCCCGATGCACGAAAAATTCGTGCAAGAGTAGGCCTTCCTTCCCCCAGCTGCTGGCACTGGCTTCCCTCTGGCACCCAGGACCCGGGCTTCCCTCCTCCAGCCACAGGCAGGCACCTGGGACCCAGGCTGGCTTCCCTCCGGCCCCAGTTTTGTCAGGAAGGACATCCGGAATGATGTCCGGTCTAATTAGCATATTACTCTTATTATTATAGATAACATTTACTGGTATTGCACCACTGGTTCTTGACAGTATATCTTTAAAGCACACTATGTCTCCTTGTGCAGAGGCAATGTACTTAACTGTTGAGATTCACAACCCAATCATGATTAAATACACCCACAATTTTCGGAGGGTATATTTATCCATTTACAGGCTATGGACATCACATGTGGATAGATATAAAATATAGCAAATGGAAGCTGTAGCTTTATGAGTTTTCAAATAGTTTTCTTTTGCATTTGAATGTCAAAAAGCTTTTTATCACAAAGTATGACCTGATGAATTAAACACATACCATGTTGGGACAAGAAATGCAAACATCCAAATGAGATTGCAGAGAGAATTAAGAGAGCAAATGCTGCTGTTCCGGCAGAGTGCAACTGTTCAAGATGGAATTTGGGCTGAATTCCATGTTACACATGTCTAGTCTTATAAGGGCAAGTGTTTAATTTTGATTCTCATTAGAAAGAGGACACCTTTCATTCTTCAGAATGATCATGGGACAACATTCTCTGACCTCAAAAACACTTTATGTAAGAGTTTAGTGTTTTCAAAATCTCTTGTTTTAATTCTCACCTAACCACAAAGCCCTTAGCTGAGGCAAGTTGATAGGTAACTCTTTGTTATCAGCTTTGTATACAGAATATATAAATCAAAGAGTAAGAAAAAGACTGAAATGATTCTTAAATGATAAGCTCATCAAAATTGTTAATTTGTCAAAGCAATACCTTGGTTCTTCATTGCAGAAGAAAACACAAATCGGACTTCAATCTTGAGGTTTACAAATGCTCAGCCAGAGAGGTTGCCTGACATAAATTACTCTACAAATCCATCAGTCAGCCCTTTGGGTGAATATAGTGAAATAAAAGGAAACAATTACCCCCATTCCACCACATGTGACTCGTAATCCCAGTACTCTCGGGGTCTGTGCGTATTAACATCTGTGTAAACTCTGGCCCTGCTTGGCACGGGTCCCGACATGTCAGACAGGTTGGCGAACAAAGCTGATCTTGATGTTTGGAGATCTGGCAGTCACTGTGTTCAGAGGCAGCTGTGGGGTGGGGTAAGACTTTGTTTCAGAACTGTTTTCTTCAAACTGCAGAAACAAAATGCACAAAGGCCAAGGAATTACTTTTTAAAAGCATACAGGAAGAAAAATCACCTTACAACAATGGCCTTAAATATAGTTCTGGCTCTCCTACCTGCTAAACCAATGAATATATCCGAACTGTGTCACAGTGTTTCCCTTAACACAGAACAAAACCAAACCTGTATCAGCCCTAATCCCTATCCTGAAAAGTAGTTCGTTACCTCCTCACCTAAAGTCTGGATAGCCTGGAAGGGAAACATGGCATTGAGGACAGACCCATCAGCATTACTACTATTTATACATTCTACAGAAAATGTTGGCAAGAACAGTACTTTCCTTTCAGCAGCTTTCTATAGCTCAAGTAGGGATGCTAAAAGGCTCTAGAGTGGTGACAAAGCCAAGAATATAAACCGCCAGTCTGACTCTAATATTTGATGAAATAAGGAAGGAAATAAAGACTGTTCTCACACATCAAATTTCAATGTCATTTTATATTAATCCAAATCATTTGGGGAACTTTATGTAATAATCAGTACATCCTTGATCACCATTTGAAATATATACTTTATTTCATTAAATTTAAAAATAAAATCAGTAATATCCTTTTTATTTACTTAATACAGGTGTAAGCTTAATAAAAACTGATAGTAAACATTAACATATATTGGATGAACTAATGCAAAATTTGAGAGAAAAATCTGTGAAATTTTAGAAATACAAACAAACTGGTAAACTAAGTTCCCTTTATGATATCTTCCCTGATTGTTCTGAGATTCCTATAGCATTTGTTGATTCCTGTTACTCTGCATTTAATTAAAAATGCATTGAGTCTCCAGAGGTCATAACCTGTGGACACATTACCACCTATGCAGTTTTCTGTCCAAGACTGCATAACTTCGATCTAATTACAAATAAACACTGGACAAACAGAAAATGAGGAAGATTCTATTAAAAGGGGTTGGGGGGGAGTGCCCAGCTGGTGTGGCTCAGTGGTTGAATGTCAACCCATGAACCAGGAGGTCACAGTTCGATTCTTTTTTTGTTGTTGTTAAAATATTTTTTTTCATTAATTTCAGAGAGGAAGGGAGAGGGAGATAGAAACATGAATGATGAGAGAGAATCATTTCTTGGCTGCTTCTTGCACACTCCCCACTGGGGATCTAGCCCACAACCCAGGCATGTGCCCTTGACCGGAATCAAACCTGGAACCCTTCAGTCCACAGGCTGACGCTCTATCCACTGAGCCAAACTGGTGAGGGCCACAGTTCGATTTTGGTCAGGGCACATGCCCGGGTTGTGGGCTTGATGTCTAGTTGGGGGTGTGCAGGAGGCAGCTGATTAATGACTGTCTCTCATCATTGATGTTTTTATCTCTCTCTCCCTCTCTACAAATAAACAAACAAATAAAACAAAACCCATAAACAAACAGAGGGATGGATATACCATGCTCTTAAAAAATGACCCTATCCTGTACTGGAGGGGAGGAGGGAGAGAGAAATGCTGTTAAAAAACAATACTATGGTCCTCAGCTGGTTTGGCTCAGTGGATAGAGCGTCAGCCTGTGGACTGAAGGGTCCCAGGTTCGATACCGGTCAAGGGCACATGCCTAGGTGGGCTCGATCCCCAGTGTGGGGTGTGCAGGATGCAGCCGATCAATGATTCTCTCTCATTACTGATTTCTCTCTCTCTCTCTCTCTCTCTCTCTCTCTCCCTTCTCCCTTCCCCTCTGAAATCAATAAAAATACATTTAAAACACACACACACTACTATGAAGATCGAATGACAAAACTGTAATTTAGATGGTAGACTGGGTATGCTCTTGTGTATACTTTCAGTGTCATATCTGTACTATCTTTTTTGTAAATTTGAAGTTACTTCCAAATAAAAGGTTAAAATAAAATCTGTATAAGGAAACTGTGGCCCAGAAAGAGGAAAATTGATCTATAGTCCCATAGCTACTTAATAGAAGAGCGAGGACCAGAAACCAAACTTTTGATTCTTGTGACAGTGATTTCTCTTGCCATCAATCATATACACTAATTAGATAACAATAGCTAACTCTGCAAGCATTCACTATGTGCTTTACGTGGATTTCATTTAATCCTCATCACACAAATGGTGAGAAAGTTATCATCATCCCCATTTTACAGATGAGGAAATTGAAGTAAAGAAAGGTTAAGTGACTTGCCAAAGGACACAGAGCTGGAGGAACTGACATTCAACCAGACTATAAAATAGGCATCACTGTAATTACATCATAGGTTTGTGGTGAGGATTCAATAACTTAATGAATACCAACTGTTTACAACTGTGCCTACTTGAGAGCTCTGAGACCCATTTATGACAACTATGTTTTTCCAATGTTGTATTTAAGCTGGAGCTTAGCAAGCATACACAAAGAAGATAAGCCAGAAAAGATGTCTCCTTGTACACATGGTTTAATGGCTTAAAGCTTTCAGAGGATGAGCAAGAGACTGGGGTGGGGATTAATGCTGTACTGGGAAATGTGACAACCAGTGATACTCCGGAGCCCCATGAGTATAAATTCAAATGGCCAAAAAACAACAAAATTGTTCAAATAATTATTAAAAAGTGAACCAAAACAGTCTTAAAAATTATTTCCAAGTATTTATTTCTTTGGTTTTATAAAACAACCAGATTATAGTAATCTATCTTTACCTAATATTGGTTAAGTGTAAAAAACACACACATCCTCCATACTAGCAAAAAAACAAAAACAAAAAAACCCACACAAACAAACCCAGAAAGCAGACACTTTTATTGTAATTTTGTTCTTCCCAAGAAACACGGTCCTTTGTGCTGTGGGAGTGCTGGCTTTTTTGTGTGGCTAGATGACTGCATTGACAAAAGTGAGGCACTAGGAAAATGGGTAAAGGTGTGAATGTGTGCACACCTGCAAACAGCTAAAGCAGTATAGGCAACAGCTGAAACCAACAGAAATACTGTACCCAGGTATTTATGACTTTTAATAAAATGATACTAAACTATTAAATTCTTAGCATCTTATCTGATAAAAACAATCTTTCTCTTCAGTCTCCATATGCAGTGGTTCTCAACCTTCCTAATGCCACAACCCTTTAATACAGTTCCTCATGTTGTGGTGACCCCCAATTTCATTGTTACAAATTGAACATAATTAAAGCATAGTGATTAATCACAAAAACAACATGTAATTATATATGTGTTTTCTGATGGTCTTAGGCGACCCTGTGAAAGGGTCATTTGACCCCCAAAGGGGTCGTGATCCACAGGTTGAGAACCGCTGCTTTATAGGCATCTGTTGATCGCAAAGCCTTAACTTCTGCTCTCAGCTTTAGAAGTTTGTAAAATCAACACAAATTTATTAACAGGGATTAGATGCAATAGGGTGATGAAACAGTAGAGTCCTGGTTTCAAATCCCTAATTGGCTACTGGGTTTCTTCCAGCGTTGGTTCATCACTTACAAAACCTGCCTAACTGCACTTGCTGACTGAAGAGAAGATCAAAGGAGATAGCTCCCAGAAAGGGCTCAGGAACACCAAACACATGTAAATTATTAAACTAGAGGCCCAGTGCACGGATTCATGCACTGGTGGGGTCGCAATCCAGGACCCGGGCTATGAGATGTAGTAGCGCATGAAGCGGCAGGCGGCTGGGGAGAAGCCTGAGCCCCGCTCCTGCTCATCCCAGCCCTGCTGCGATGGGAGAGGGTGGGAGAGGCTTGCGCTACCGCAGCTGCGCTTGCCAGCCATAAGCCTGGTGTCTGGCACCCTATTGGTCAGCTGAGCGGAGCTCCTGCTGTGGGAGCTCACTGACTATCAGGGGGCAGCTCCTGTGTTGAGTGTCTGCCCCTTGGTGGTCAGCGGGCATCATAGCGACCGGTTGCTTAGGGTTTTATATATAGAGATTATTACTATGCCACAGCTCCTCAGTGAAAACTAATAAGAAGAAACCTATCTTTAAAAAGCTAGTTTTCACCCTGGCCAGGTGGCTCAATTAGTTGGAGCACCATCCTGTGCACCAAGAGGTTGCAGATTCTATCCCTGATTGGGGCACATACCTGAGGTAACAGATCAATGTTTTTCACATCAATGTTTCTCTCTCTAAAAAAAAAATTTTTTAAAAGGCTACAGTCTTCATTTCTAGTTTTCTTTTCTTTAGTTTTCCATAAAATACAAAAATTATAGCAGCAGTGGTTAATTCCCAGCTTCTCAGGGCCAGCTCATGGGTGAACATGACATTACAAAATGAGACTTCATTTCTCCCTAGAAACCACCCGATTCATGTGAAAAATATTCCCCAACTCCCATTTACTAGCCTATGAATCACAACCACCCAGTCTTCTGCTGCTCTCTTAAAGCCTTGGCATTCTCTGTGATGAGCAGAGCAAGACTATTCACTAATGAAACTCTTGAGATTCTCAAGTACTTGTTTGACTGACCTTTGCAGCTTTGTGCCTCATTATTAGCTGGAACCTAATTTATGAACCAGTGGATTTGACTCTCCACTGGGAGGGCAACTATCTGTTTTACAGTGCCCCCCAAAAAACTTCACTTTACTGTCATGCATACCAAATAATTTGCTTATAGTAAGAGTCACTCACATGAATTTCAATGGTTGGCCTTCATTAAATATATGGGGAGAAGATAACAGGGTTCTTGAACTCTAGATAAATAAAATGGTGCAAAGAAGGAAGGTAATGAGATGGAGATAGAGTGGGGATGTGAAAAGATAGGAAAGAGAAGTCATCAAAGATAAACATTATTTTATTCAGAAATAGTATTTTGCTCATATCTCGGTAGATATGTATGTAGATTTACATGCAGCCTAACATGAAGGAAATACAAGGATAGCATACATTTCTCAATTATTACTTTGATTCTTCCATACATCCCTTCCTTTGTTCATCCCTTAAATATATGAGCATTTACTATGAAAAAGTACTATGTTAGGCCTTGGAAATAGAATAACGAGCAAGGCAGAACAGGGTGAGACACATATGCCTTTATCTGCAGACTAAGGATAATGGAAATTCATCAGAGTTTTAGGCAGAAAGGTGATTCATATACATTTTTGAAGTTTGTTCTGTCCAGGTATGGGACAGGCAGAGATTAGATTTAGGGACAGACAAAAAGGCTGCTAATAGTCACCTATGTGAGAGAATGGAAGACTGACCAATGGTGGTAGCAATGGAGATATGTGGACTAACGAGGAACAAAAATTTATGGTGTAAAAACAATATCTCTGGCCCTGGCTGGTATGGCTCAGTTGGTTGGAGCATCGTCTAGTGCACCAATGGGTCCTGGGTTTGATTTCCAATCAGGCCACATACCCAGGTTGTGGGTTCGGGGCATGTATGGGAGGCAACAGATCAATGTTTCTCTCTCACATTGATGCTTCTCTTTCTCTCTCTCCCTCCCTATCTCTAAAATAAACAACAACAAAAAAACACCTCTGGGTGGACTGGATAATGGGGTAAGGAGTGGGAGGTGAGTTTAGATTTCTGGCTAGATAGACTGCTGATGCTTCATGAAAATAGAAAACACCTTGGAAGTGAACTCACAAAGTCAAGTTTTGGACTTAAGGTGAAAATGGTTTTGAAACATTAAAAAGGATACTGAACTGGAACTTAGATATTACAAGACTGGAGCTGAAAAAGCGTCTCAGCTTTAAATTATCTAACCCTCCCCAGCAATTCCATGAGACAGGCATTTCTTTCCCCAACCTACTGGTAAGTAAGCTCAGTAGCTTGATAGAATATCCCGTAAAAATGGGATCAAATCCAAGTTGGCTTACCTCCCAAGGTTCAATTCTTTTCATGCCTATATAGAACTTATCACATTCTAAACCTTTTATACAAATCTTAATTTCTCTATTAGACCCGTAGGTCCCTGAAGTCAAGATCCATGTCTAATTTACCTTGTTACTTTACAGTAGCCAGCTGGGCTTGATTTATTTAAAAAGTAAAATGACGACAGGCTGGTGTTGTTCAGTGGTTGAGCATCGACCTATGAACCAGGAATTCATGGTTCAATTCCCAGTCAGGGCACATTTCCGGGTTGCTGGCTTAATCCCCAGTGTGGGGCAGGCAGGAGGCAGCCAATCAATGATTCTCTCTTATCACTGATGTTTCTATCTCTCTCCCCCTCCCTTACTCTCTGAAATCAATAAAAATATATTTAAGGAAAAAGAAAAAGCAGTTGCCTCCAAAAGGCAGGGTGCCCCAAACACTTCTGATCATCTGGTGCACAGCTAGGGGGAACTAAAAGACCAACTCAAGGGTTCTTGAGAAATTGCTCCCTTTGCTCTCTCTCCCTCCCAATATTATAGCTTCTTCTCCTAAAGAACAGGGCCACAATTAAAATTTGCCCCCACCTCAATAATTAAGAGAATACTGGAGAAACTTTATTTTAGCAATTTTTTAAATAGTTATTTGGAAGTTTGGAGAAGTGCCTAAGTCCTGGATACTCTGAAGGTCAATTCTCCTACTTACTGTTCATAAAACATGTACCATATACCTTAAGAAAATCTAACATACCACTATTTCTATCTAAAAAGCCACCAGATTAATTCTGAAGACATGGCTAACTTTTGTTTGTTCAATGTTTAACCTAACAGAAGCCAATTATAATCAACTATGAAATATTATCTTGTCAACAACATTTTCCCTACTGAAGTCAGACCACACCTATAACCAATTACATGGCTCTGCTTGACCTATCTATCCTATATAATAAAAGGCTAATATGCAAATTGTCCCCTCAACCGGGAGTTTGACCAGGGGCAGGGCCAGCCAAACGCCCACAGCCCGTCCCCTTAGCCGGCCTGATCAGCCCCCAATTGGGGTGGGCTGGCCAAATCCCACCCATGCACTGGGCCTCTAATCTACACTAATAAAAGAGAAACATGGTAATTAGCGTACGACCGCTACCCTTCCCATTGGCTAATCAGCATATCCTTATGCAAATGAACTGTCAGCCAAGATGGCGGCCGGCAGCCAGGCAGCTGGAAGCGAACATGAGGCTTGCTTGCTCCAGTGACTGCGGACTCCAATGTTCCCCGCCTGACTTGCCGGCCTCTGAGCTGCAACTCTAAGCAACTATGTACTATGTTGCAAATAAGAAGCTAAACAAAACCCCAGAAACCGGCTTTCAGTCAGCCAGGTTCAGCCAGCCGGACCGCAACATTGTATCAAATACAGAAGGAAAAACAAAGGCCAGAAACCGGCTTTCAGCAGCCGAGGCCTCAGAGCTAAAGCTGGCCCAGAATAAAAAAAAAAAAAAGAAAAAAAGGAGCAGTTGGGAGCTTTAGTCACCCGCCAGCCGGAAAACGGCCCTCAGCCCCTCAGCCAGACTGGCCAGGCACCCCAGTGGGGACCCCCACCCTGATCCAGGACACCCTTCAGGGCAAACCAGCCGGCCCCCACCCATGCACCAGGCCTCTATTCTATATAGTAAAAGGGTAATATGCCTCCCGGCACCGGGATCAGCGTGACAGGGGGCAGCTACCAAACCCCCTGATCGCTCTGCGGCTCTGTATGTGACAGGGGGGAGCTCCCCAACCCCCTGATCGACCCTGCTCTGTGTGTGACAGGGTACGGCGCCCCAACCCCCTTATCGGCCCTGCTCTGTGAGTGACAGGGGGCAGCGCCCCAACCCCCTGATCGGCCCTGCTTTGTGCGTGACAGGGGGTGGCGCCGCAACCTCCCCATCGACCCTGCCTTGAGTGTGACAGGGCGCGGTGCCCCAACCCCCCAATCGGCCCTACCCTGAGCGTGACTGAGGGTGGCATCGCAACCTCCCGATCCGCCCTGCTCTGTGCATGACGGGGTGGCGCCCCAACTCCCCAATCGGCCCTGCTCTGAGCCCCACCAGGGGCTGCACCTAGGGATTGGGCCTGCCCTCTGCCACCCAGGAGCAGGCCTAAGCCAGCAGGTCGTTATCTCCCGAGGGGTCCCAGACTGCGAGAGGGCACAGGCCGGGCTGGGGGACCCCCCTCCCCTCCCGAGTGCACAAATTTTTGTGCACCGGGCCTCTAGTATATATATATATGCCTAAGTGACCATTATGACCGGACAACCAGACAACTGGACAATGGGCCAGTAGCTATGACGCGCACTGACCACCAGGGGGCAGATGCTCAATGCAGGAACTGCCCCCTGGTTGTCAGTGCACTCCCACAGCCAACCTCCCGCAGTCCCTCCCCCCGCTACCTGGCCAGCCCCAATCAGGACTGGGAGAGAGGGCCCCAATTGGCCCCAATCGCTGGCCAGGCCAAGGGACCTCACCCATGCACGAATTCATGCACTGGGCCTCTACTGTGTGTGTGTGTGTGTGTGTGTGTGTGTGTGTATAAGTCTAAGCGACTGTTACGCCTGAATGACCAGTAGCTATTACATGCACTCACCACCAAGGGGCAGACGCTCAACGCAGGAGCTGTCCCCGGTGGTCAGTGCACTCCCGCTCAGCCAGAAGCTGGGTTCATGGCTGGCGAGTGCAGCTGTGGTGGCAGGAGCCTCTCCCGCCACCGCGGTAGCACTACTGAGCAGCGGAGGTGGCAGGCACAGCAGGGCCGGGATGAGTGGCAGCAGAGCTGCGCCCGGCCTGGCTGGGGCTCCTCACTGGCCGCCTGCCGCTTTGGCACTACTACATCCCCCAAGGGGTCCCAGATTGCAAGAGGGCGCAGGCTAGACTGAGAGACCCAACCCATGCACGAATCCGTGCACCAGGCCTCTAATTCTTTATAAAATGCAAGGAAATAAAAACTCCATTAAACAATAAGGCTAAATAAAACATACACTGCCAAAATCAGAAGTTTACTGACACAAATGGAATGTAATAGAACTAATTAATTTCAATAAAAACTTCTCTTGCCCTTCTCAGCCAGTGTGTTTCCCTTTAATCTTTTCTATTCCATATGATTTTTTTTTCAATCTGGCAATAAAAAAAAATTAGAGGTCTAATAAATGGTCTATCTAATATCAGAAAAATGCACAAGTCTGATTGGTCATTTGTTCTAATATACTTTTATACATTAATATTCTAGTATTAGAGCTGTAAACATTATTCTGGAACTTTAAAGTTAAAAAGTTAACTTCATTTTCAAACTGTAATACAATTTTATTAGTTCTTGTAACCCTACTATTTATTAGGGTCTCTATCTAAAAAACAACAACCCTGCAACACAAAGCTTCTTGCCACTCCTAGATCAACCACAGTGGATGAACAAGATCTCATAACCATCCAGACAGGACAAAGATTTCTATGGCAAAGAATGAGGAATGTGCTTATTATTGCACTGTCAGCATGATTTAGGACTGACTGTTGAGAGGAAAAGCAGTTGTATGAGGAAAACAACACCTTTTAAGCATTGCTACAGAGAATGAATTCTTCCTAGCAATCAGGCAGCACATACTGGTAAGAGAGAAACAAATTCAGGGAAAGCATAACTATATATATGCTTGTGCTTTGTTGTTGAAGCAGACAAATATTGAGTTACATAAACTTACCTTTTTCCCTTTCAAAAGTGGCACTGCTTTTCTTTTCCTGGCTGACATGGTGGAACTTAAGTGCATATTACTAAGTGAACAAAGCCAATCTGAAAAGGCTACAAACTGTATGATTCCAACTATATGACTTTCTGGAAAAGACAAAACTAAGGAGACAATAAAAAGATTAGAGGTTGTCAGGGGTTGGGAGGAGGGAAGGATGAATAGGTAGGACACAGAGGATTTGTAGGGCAGTGAAACTATTGTGTATGACACTACAATGGTAGATACATGTCCATCATACATCTGTCCAATCCCATACAATGTACACCAAGAGTGAACTCTAATGTAAACTACTATTAAAAGAAAAAGTGGCACTGCTTAGAAGGCCATATGAACACAAAAAAGCATTAGTTAATATTATCTAGAACACTTGTTTCAAATTCCACAGTTGCCCTTAATTTCCAATACTCTCCTCCTTTTAAATCAAGAGCAGAATGTTCATCAGTAAGCATTTACTATGTACCAGGAAATGTGTGCCTGTTGCCAGAAAGGGATTCTTTCTCTAACTCCCAGAACAAGGAAAACCATTACAATCCCAAGTGATCAGCACTGGAAATAATTAAGTCAGGGTACTCTGAAGGCACTGAAAGGAATTTAAGTCACCCTGCAACCCATTATCATTCATCCAATAAATATTTATGGAGTACCTCAATATTTTGGGAAAAGCTGTCAGGGAAATAATAGCATCTAAGCTTAGTTTTGAAGAATGCACAGGAAATATTCAAGTGAAGAACACTAAAACAAGATATTGTAAAGAACAATACTTCAAGCAAGTTAAGAATTTTAAAGACCTGTAATTTTGACCCTAAAATTTCCAAAGGCTGGAACACCTCGTTAACTCCTATAAGAAGCACATCGGATCAGCAACCCTTTTATATCTGATTTGGAGAATACTGGTGTGCCCTACTTGACTGTTACTATGTGTGCCTAAAAGAAAATAGAATCATTAATTCAAAATTATTACAATTCAAATCTCATTCTCTTCCTTTCTCCGCTCCTTATATACAAATCACTTTTACTGCAGAGGTCACAGAGCAAAATGCTTCGAAAGGACAAATAACTAGGGGAGTGTAGATGATCCCTGGAAATGTGATTAGAGCTTGTCAGTTTTCAAAGTAAGAAAGCAAGAATTTTTCAGATAATATTCCTGTTTTCAGTAATGGTGGGATAGGTTATTTGGGTCAACCTTCCTAAACACACATACCCCTCCCCTTTCTTTGTCCCTCTTCCTTTTTCTGTCTCTCATTCTTAAGTAAAACATATAAGTAAAAGAAGAGAAAATGAGAACTCAGAGAAGCAAGCAAGCAAGCCCAAAGGGTCTGTTGATCCCTAAAAATTAGAATTTTGTTCTGACAGAAACCAAAGTCCAGCGCCCTCACAAGGTAAAGAGTCTAATAGGAGAACCTTTCCATTATAGGCTG